TGACAGCCCACTGAACATGTACGCAGTTTGCTCCCGTGCACATCGCAGTGACTCTGTGCCTATCGTGGCTGAAGGAAGGTGCACAGCTAAAGCGGTAAGTTGTGTCGACGTCTGCCTGCCTACGACACTAAAGCCTGGGACACCGAAGCGGCTGTGTGTGTGTGTGTGTGTGTGTGTGTATGACAGAGAGCACAACAGCGCTGCAGGTGTGTGATGAGTGAATCTTCATTTTCTCCTGTTCATGCTGCTATTTGCACATTTGCCTTAGTAAAAAGACATTGCCTAGGTAATGACTCAGATACTCTTCCATTACATAACATTTTCATCTGCGGTAAATAATCAGTTGACAAGCAGTTGGTTGTCTGTTGGAAAAAAATTCACAATGTACATCCAGAGTGAATACCAGTTAAGATCTTGGAAAGGGACTTAAAAAGGTCATGTTCCCACCTTCTCTTTGTTGGACAGGGTTGGGTGGACAAACTTGCGATAGAGGACACTGGAGCCTTTGGTGTATGGAGACAGGAGCCAGATTACAAAGGCGATCTTTAGCTCAAAGTAAAATGGAAACCTGGGCAATGAAACAGAGTTATAAACGATCAGCAATGACAGGAAAGAGTTTCATTATATAATGCGTGAAAGTGAAAAAAGATACTTTAATTAGAGCAACTTGTACTAAAAATATCAAGCAGACATGAACGCATTGAAGTTACATAAGCTGTTTATTTATGACAAGCTAGTTGGGCGTGAGGGTAACGATCATGAGCAGCTCCCGACTCACCATGATAGGAGCAGGTCTGTGGCTGTCTCTGCTGTGGTGAACAAGGCAAACACTATCCAGTACATCATCCACTTCACCTGGAGACACACACACACACATAGATTGGTGAGGGGTGAGAACATAACAAAAAGAGCACATAAAAACCCACAGCATCCAGTGCACATGTGCAGCGACACGTGGCGATAAACAGAAGCTACACACAGACACAGAAACCCAACATATGCTCCAGTCATATCACATCACATCAGTGAGCATGGTTAATCTCTGGAGACAAAGGAAATGTGGGGCATCGACTAAATATGCAGTAACCTAGGCACCAAAGGGCAAATTAGCTTGAGATATAAAGGAAATGCACAGCAATAATTAGCATATAGCTTCATCAAATGTTACACAATTCAAGACTGGACAGTAATGTGTGTTTAGAGGCATCAACAGGCACGCAGCCGTATAAACACACAGTGCTGAATCACTTCAATCATTAGAAACAGGTCAAACATGAGGAGACGGGAATGAAAACATTGGTTCTAAAAATGGCGTCCTCCTCTCTCCTTGCTAACCCCATCCCTCCTTCCGTGGCCGTCTGCTTGAGCAGCAACTGAGAGGGGAGGTTACCATAGAAACCAACCAGGAGGAGACAGTTCTCCAGCACAGATCTAGGCGGAGGCCCAGAATGCTGCCATGTCCTCCGCCTCCTCCCAGATCCCCTTTCTCTCATCCCATGTAGTGATGAGGTAAACAGGGAGGACCCCATTTTTATTAACAGTCTTTCTCTTTTTTAACTCCATCAGCTCGGAGCTGATGTTTTAAAATTCAAGTGTTGAGTCATAACATTGAACCAAGAGAAATTTGGGGAATTTGTAAGATGAATAATTTTGCACCGGCGGGTGGATAACTTCAGGCAGTTAACATGTTTTGGGAGTTTGCCTCTGGCCAAGTGCCCACTACATTATTGGTTTTGGACTGTTTCAAAAGAAAACCCACACACTACAGTCTCTTTTTAAAACAATGCCATGTCCATGTAGAATTAATGAATTAGGATTGACAGAGATATGCAGGACTTATATAGCATTTTTCAGTGTCATTCTGGTGCCATAGCATCCCCCTTTCCATGATTTGGTGGGTGTGTCCCACATTTACTGCCCTGCCATGCTTATGACCTTGTCTTTCAGATCTAGATCATTCAGAAGTCAGTCTAAAAGTGAGAGTGATCGAAAAAACTGAAATTACACCAGATAATGAATCTGTGTCCTCTGACAAAACAATGTCATGGGTTTGTCTGACCTGAAAAATTCTACATTTGGCATTTGTATAACTTTCACAACACACATTTACATCTGTAAACATTGATGTAAATATAGCTGAGAGCAGCCCAGGACCAAATATCCCAAAGTCAAATAGAGCAGGCAGGGGTCAGAAGAATGGTCTGCTTTGGTGATACTCACATATTCCTTCACATTCTTCGTTTTGACAGCCTTGTATGAGGAGTATGCTGGGTAGAGCGTCCCAAAGGCAAGGCTGAAAAGAGCAGAGAGAGACTGGCTCAGAGGAGTGATTCAGTTTGAGAACACAGCCTCTGGGTGTAGATGCTGACACCTCACAGAACACGTTACTCCTTAAAAAAGCAGGTTAGCTATGTTTACTCATAGCTTATGTAAATACAAGTGGCTTTCTGTACTGGGCTACTTATACTTTAACAGTCAGTTTCTACATAGCTTGATCTGAATGATGACGATCACAATAGAGAGGTGATGGGCAGGGCCTTGTCCAAACACACCGGCCTGATAATCACAGAGTCAGGAAGACGGCAGACGGAAGATAGAGCGGAAAAACACACTAAAGTCTGCCAGGGGTGGGTCAACATGTGCGTGTCCTCGTGCTCACGGAGCGGAGTTTCTGATGTGCCTTTGGTCGCATCCTGTGCCACTGTGTTGATTTGTGCTGATGTGGCTGAGTGAGGGGACGGCAGGGAGAATACAGTTCAGAAAGTCACATGTTTGTCTGTATGCTGCGGTTTAATCCAGTGACTTCAAACACTTTAAAATGTATCAAACAAAGTCTCCTAGTGAAGCTTGTGCTCCTGGCTCGGAGCATATCTACCGTAGCATATCTCAGCATTTAAGTCGTTCCTCTGTCCCAGTATTTATCTGAGCTGCTCAGTCATGTGTGCAGTGCCTCTCGGCTTTGTACAGTAAGCTGAGGGGATTCAAAGCAGGCCTCCAGGCCAGTTGACTCCCTCAGCAGACACCCTGTGTCTCTTTGTGTCCCCATCTCAGGTTCACTTCTTTGGGTTTAAGGGCTGCCTCTCCTCTTGCTTAGACTCAAGTAGCTGCATGTTTAAAGCAGAATAAAGGGGTGAAAAATGACTGATCTCGTGTGTTAGATGTGCGAAACCATTACGATGCATATCCAGTCACACTGTTTGTCTCCCTATTGACGCATGACAACCTGAGAAGCAGTGAAGTGCAAGAGCCAGCTGGAAGCCATTAAAAGTAACATTTTGCCGACGTTATCTTCTTCTTATGTAATCTGAACAGGCAGAATATTCATAGGAATAAAAACAACAGTGGCATTACTACACAACTGGGCCTTTTCAAAGCAACAACCACAGCTATGTATCATTATGAAACACTTGAATCTGACAGTGTTGGTGTCAAACAGTTTCACCCAGTGGTCATATGTCCTGCTTAAAAATGTCAGGATTAAAGCAGCCTCATAAGTGATGGGGATGACGGCTTTCGTTGAGTCATCCCCACTCCGGAGGATGTGGTGTGTTCAGGTGGAAGCCGAGGCCTAATACTGCTCGTCACAGTTATACACAAAAAAGAGATCGATGTGATAAGTTGTATACTTGTAAGTAAATATATGCAAGTCATCCACATTTTCTTATCATCTCATTTAAAAGATATTCACGATTTCTTTATATAATACCACCAAATCTTCAACTTCTCTCCCAGCTGGGAGCTGATGTTTTAAAACTCAAGCCTGGACTGTGTTGACATAGTATCGACATTGAACTGAAGGAAAATTTGTCGACACAAATCGAAACCATGACAAAACCTGGGAGTGATCATGCGAACTTTGAATCATTTTGCAATCAGGAGGATTGACAGAACCAGGTAGTTAACATGTTTTGGATTATTGCTCGCCAAGCGCCCAATAGATCATTGGTTCCCAACCTTTTCAGCTCATGTTCATGTAATCAGTTGTTCAAACAGCGGAAACAGTTTCATCTGGTTTAACGCAAAAACCTGACAGCGTCTGTGTCAAACAGGTACACCTGATGGTCACGCCACAGGATGTCCTGTTTAAAAACTCAGATCCAGGATTAAAGCAGTGATCAGGATGATGGCTTTAGTTGAGTCATCCACACACACTGAAGATGTGGTGTGTTCAGGTGCAAGCTGAGGCCTGAGACTGTTGATACTGCTCATCTGAACACAAAAAGGAGTCGATGTATAAAGTTTGTACTTCTGGTTAGTAGATAAATACACACAAGTCATCCACAGAACATGGGCCCAGACCTTAGACTGTATATTAAAAGACCCAGAACAGCCATGAGGTGGATGGATGGATGGACGTCCCTGACCGGGCTGCTGCCATCATGTAAGCAGATGGTGGGATGCTCAGTCAGCACAGCAGCATCGCTCAGGCCGGGGTGTTTTGAAAAGCCCTGGCAGGCAGCTTGCAGGCCGTTTGGAGCGAGGCTGGAATATGAATGAAGTAGCTTTCACTGTAGTTAAAGCGTCCAGCCAACAACACGTTTCCCTGCCAGGTGGGCACAGGCGCTGTAGCCAGCATACGTTAGCCGCCAGCAGCTAGCAAGCGCCAGGGAGCGGACTGTGCCGCATCGTCGTGGCCGTTAAAAGACACGAAGCAACGGCCAGGACGGTTCGTGTGGTTCACGACTATCTAACACTTCAACTACCCGGGGACAGGGCATGGAGCCCGGGCTAGCTAGTCGTGGCGGTGCGGCGCTCAGCATCCAGACAGCTGATGCACGGAGCCGTTCAAACACGACGGCAGATGCAGCCCAGCCCCGCATACTCACACGACTATCCTCGAAATGATCCACGACACCATGATGGGGAACCGTGAGCCTTCCGCTTCGAGGAAATGTCTTCGGGTTAGCTAGCGGGCGAGGTGCCCCCCATGCCCCTCCAGGACGCGGTCTGCGGTGACGTGAAGCCGGCTGTCTGTCCGCCTCTGGTCCGCTGCGCTGGGTGTCAGGTGGACCCACAGCTGCGGAGGATCTGCTGCAGTGTGTGGCTGGAACACTTAAAGGGCCAGAGCACGCTGTGACGGGCCTCCGACACTTTACCTCCGAAAGCTTAAGAGCTTCATTTCCAAATATTTCATCTTATTTCATCCTGTTCACCCTTCAAGAGAAGTCCTCAGGAGAAGAGTCAGCTTTAATCAAACTGCACTGATGGTGTGGGCTGGTGCAGAGTGAAGTGAGAAAACTCTGCGCTCATCCTACCTGGTGTATGTTCACAAAAGATTTTATGCTGAGTGTTTTTCATAAAACCCGCCTCACTCTAAACGTGTCTGTGTGGAATAGGCTGTTTTCTTGGGCTGTGTTAATGCTCCGGAGCTCCTTCAGAATTATTCCTTGTCATTAGTGAGCCCTCCTCAGACAGTTCTACAATATGCTGTCACTTTTTATTGTTTGTGTGCACAGATTTTTGTATTCAATCTAGGATGCAGAGTGAAGTTACACAACATTGTGTTCATCGTACCTGGTTTATCTGCAATGAAGATTTTATAGTCAGTGTTTTTCCTAAATGAAACCTAATTTGCTTTACTAGTGTTCACATTTATGGCTGATATACATATTTTAATAATTTATTTAGCTGGTATTATTTGTCATACATTGCATATCAGCTATGTGAGAAGTCTGTTAAGCAATCGACACAAATCAGACTCAAGTTGCAGTTCTGTGTACATGTTTCTACATACTTTTTTTTTTCCCCCATATAAAAGGTCACTAAAACCTTTACCTTTGACAACTGAAACACAGAAACATGTTCTTCTGAATACATTCCCTCAAGCTGATCTTAAGATATCATGGTCAAGAAAAACATATTTAACATTGTGAGGCCACTGTGACCTTGACCTTTGATTACCAAGATGAAATCCAAGCTCAAGTGAATGTTTGTGCCAAATGTGAAATAATTCCCTCAAGTAGTTTCAGAGATAATGCATTCACAAGAATATTTTTGCTTTGTGGGGTCACAGTGACCTTGACCTTTTGCCAACACATTCTTTTCAAGTCATCCTTCAGTCCTATGTGCATGTTTGTGCCAGATGTGATGAAATTCCCTTAGGGCATTCCTGATGTATTGAGTTCAAAACAACACAATGCCATGTGACCAAAATGTTCAGTTCATCTATGAGTCAAAGTGAATGGCATTCCCTCAAATTTAAAAATATGTGCGTCACACTCACTGGGATGATGTTGTTGAAAACATCAGGCTTTGAACTGAAAATTATCGACAGATTAATTGATAGTAGAAATAACAGTGGAACCCGTAATTGAGACATTTTAATATGACTAGTAGCCACCCTGGGATCATAAGCAAACAGGTTTAGTCAGTAAAGATACACATGAAGAAAACAGTAATTTTTGTAACTTTTATTGTGAAAAATCAAACAGACTGCTAAGATCAATATATATTGATACAATGTTAATGGCCAGTAGTTCTGTTCAGCTGCAATTGGGATTTTTGAACAATGTTGTTGGTGATCTTCCGTTCATTCAGTCCATGGACAAAGATAGGTGACCAAACCTATGACTTAAAAAAACGGCCCTCTCTGAAGTCCTGATCATTATCTCGTGGTGTATACAAAGAAAAGACTTCTTTTTCTAAAACTGAAATAAGAAAACTAAAATACAAAACTTTGGTCTGCTTCTCTTCACTGGCTGCTTCCCAAATTCATTTCAGTCACAGAGGGCAGAAGGAAACAGCTGTTTAAAAACTCCAACGACGAAAAAAATCTACAAAAACAGGTTAACCTTGCTCCTATTGAAGAAAAATAATATCAACGTCATCAAAATAGGAAAGTTAGCCCAGTACTCACATTTTGTCAGTCGCTTATATAGTAGCTGAACCTCTGCTCCAAAGGCACGTCAGCTTTAACCTCCCTTACTCTCACATCATAGATATACAATGAGAACAACAGAACAAACACACTGACCTTAAATACGAAGTTAATCAGAAAAAAAAGAAAACAACTAGACAAGTTTGAGCGTACTGTGCAACAGCGATAAAGGATTTCCTTAATCGGAACATTGACTAACCCCTCCCGGTCTAAACCCTCCAGATCAAATGTTCTCTTTCTGCAAAATCAAAACTTCACTGCCCAAAAAAACGCTACACTCTATCCTGTACTCTGTAGCTTGTGTATATGTAGGTATGTAATGTTTACTGTGTGTGTGCGTGTGTGTGTGTGTAGTGATGTAGTCTTCAGAAGGTGGTTGTCTTGGGACAGCGTTATGTGAGAGGAACTAAGGGCGGGCTAGTTTAGGTTCATGGGCCTTCATAGTCCCAACAGCGTCCTTCACTGCGTGATAGATGATGTTCTTCACCTGAGGAAGATGACAGGAAAAGTCTGTTAAAACGATGACAGACATGGAAACAGCAATAACTCACATTCACTCAGGCTGGGGGCCGACTTCACTCTTTCAGTACAAATGTAAACAAAACACTGTGTGTGACTTAATACAACATCATTTTAATTTTTTATTTTCTACAATTCTATTTCTTATTTAAAGGTACTATATGTTTATTAATGACACTGGTGGCCGTTGAGTCAACTGCAGTCAGTCGTAGGTATGGGTGAGTCACAACAGTGACATGTGACTGACTGGCATCATATTGGTCGATGATTTAATGAGGATTACATAATTTTTTTCAAAAACAAAATTGGCTTGAGAAAATGAAATGAATGAAGCAGACCAACCTGTAGCTTGTCTTCGTGGTTTGTATGAGTAGTGGACAGGTGTCTGAACTCCTGGGTCAGTCTGAAACAGTGCCTCACATGCTCAGGAGAAACAAAGTCCTCAGCCACCTTGATACAGCTGTACAGGTTGTGCACCTGGGAGGGAAGAGAAGAGAATGTAAAATATGTTGAGAAGAGAAGAAAACATGAACATGGACCTTGAATTAAGCATTTATAAGTAAAGACAGTTCTCTCATACTGACCTGGTGTGGTGCTCCAGCAGGAATGAATACAGCATCTCCTAAGAACTGTACAATGGCCCAGCCCTGGACGCCATATTCTTCATAGAGCCTGCGGCGGAGGACCTGGTCCAGGTACCAGCTCTGGTCGTGAATGGGGTCATGATCTGGAGGGTTTTCTTGACCCTGCTCCTCTCCCACCTGACACAGATATAGATTAACAACGGCATTATGCAAGTAATCCACGTGAACCATACAACTGGAAAGCAGCTGATCTCTCTGATTTCTGTTTGTGCCTTGTAATTGATATGTGTTGACATGATGACGCAGGTAATGCACTGTTCAAATGCTGTAGTGACGGTGCAGCTTAAGAGATGAGACGTTGTTTTGAAAAGACATGTGTCTGCTGACCTTGCGGAGCAGTTCTCTGATCTTTTCAGCATCTTTGGCAGCGTAGATGTGCCAGAGCGCTCCAGGTTTCTCTTTCCCCTCGTACACCCTCCGCTTCGTCATGTCATCCACATCACCCTCCTCGATGGTGGTCATGACCTCTGGAGGACAAAACATAAACAACAACGCACATATAAAGGGGAGCAATGGGGTCACTGACCATGTCTCTTTGATGACAGGATTTTACAGCGGCCTCATTAAGTAGCTTTTGAGCTTCACATCATCACTGTAGCTGCTGTTTGAGCATAAACTAACTACGGTCATCTCATCATTTAAGTTCCATGGCTGACTAAATGGATTATACTGGTGGAGCAACAGTTGTTCTCAACTGGTGGCTCACGGCTCTGTAATAGGCCGCAGGTTGAGTGTAAGTGGACTGCGTGAAATTCAATTAAATTAACACTGTGCGGATGTGTAACCACATTCAACATTCAGAGGGAAATGGCCAAACCTGCGAGGAAGAATGGCTACTGGTGCCAGCACTGCTGACGTTAGTCACACTCAGCAAACACATCGTGCTATACTTTAACTGTTTTCTTAGTTTTAGACAAAATTTACATTTCTTTTAAACAGTGAACTTAAGTCGTTAGAAACATTGGCAGGACTTGTGTTTCTATAGAGCTATTACAGAGCTATACTTTTTGAGATAGTTCAAATTTTAAATGCTGTTAGGGTTGTGATAAAAATATATGGATCCTGTAGCCGGACCAGTTGATAACCACTAGTGCGAAGAAAAGGACAATTTACAGACTACACAATTACATTTACTGACACAACAATCACATCCACAGGTTGATCAAACAGAGGAGCTACTGTCACACTACTGACTGAAGGAGTACTAACTACTTGTGTACTAAAATACAAGTTATTCAGAAAGATTGTGAGTGGAAGCAAACACATTAATGACATGTATGTACTTTCAGTAACCTTTGTCTTTCAGCAGCCAAATGTGATTTATTCTCAGTGATTCTCTTCACTATCGTTGTTTATGTGCAAAGAGATACCAGAGGTTAACAGTGACTATGTTTACATGGACAGCAATATTCCCACTATTGAGCTTATTCAGAATAAGACATTATTTCAGTTATGATGTTTACATAATGTGCTAATAGAATATTCCATTCATATTCCTTTTTATATTTTACAGAGCATGATTATGACTTGCATCATAATGTCCACCACACCGTTACATTAAATGTTACTCTGTCAGTTTCAAACCCCAACCTGAAAGTTTGACGAATATATATGTTTTTATTCCACTCTTTACCGTTACCATTCTCTCATACACTTTGTGGGAGGTGGCTGGATTGAGATATTGCTATTTGTGATGATTGTACTGCTCCGAACTATAGGAAAGTTAAATGAGAACATATTTATAAAAAGGGGTTGGGGGTGTGTGTGTGGGTGGTGGTGGTGGTGAGGGTGTGTGTGGGTGGTGTGGGTGGTGGTGTGTGTGTGTGTGTGTGTGTGTGTGTGTGTGTGTGTGTGTGTGTGTGTGTGTGTGTGGTGGTGGTGGTGGTGGTGGGTTGGGGGAGTGTACGTCAACAGCATGCCTATGCTCAGACTCCGTGTCACTGTAATGAGTGAGGGGAAGCCATTGCGGATGCCAAAAATGCCCTTAGAAGAGAGCACAGCTGACCCTAAGCTGGCAGGAACTGAAGATAATCACGCTGCTATAACTATGAGATCCTGGGTGATCTATGTCGATTCAAAGAATTCACATTACTGCACTAACCGAACCCGACAGCTACGCACATTTTACTCCAAGAGTGGATCTCCAAAGGCAAACAATAGAAATTCCAATGGTATCCGTTAATCAACTTAGGTGTTAACAAATTAAATCCTTAAATAGAAATAGAGAATGGGATAAATAAAATATGC